AGATGACTCAAAACCATGTCAGACACCACCATATATCCTGGGGCATGGCTTGGGCCTGCCGTGGCTAAGCCTTGCATGGCGGGGATCAATTCGACAAACGCGGCGCCAGCGGCTGGGGGCAAATGTTTGCTATTGCTGGGTGAGGAAAACAAGTCCCGTGGAAAATGCAACGTTGCTAAGGCTTTGGTGGCACATCGGCTTCCAAACCACGCGCCTCTGCTCAGAGAAAGACCATGACAAAGCGGGCAGTGTTGGTGCTCGTCTCTCTCTCCTTGGCAGGCATATCTTTGGTACAACTTCGGGAGTACATGCGCAGTGAACCCATGAGACTTGAGTCACACAGATGCACGACCTGATTCGTCGATGATGTGGGATGACGGCAATCACAGCGAAGCAGTCAGGGCTTCATAACGAGCTTTGGCTCCAATCATCGCACAGGGTCTGGGTTCGGCCTGACGGTGACTCTTTTCTGGCTGCCAACAAGAACACTCTTGCATACGGATAAGGTTTCGGGGGATGACAAGACGACATACTTCCTTCTGCTTTGAACTTCTGCCTTATCAGGTATCATGAGCACTTGGCAACCCTCTTAGGACAGGCAATTGCCTGTCCCTGTTGATATCAAACTTGCACCAAATAAGCAAGAAAGAAAGAAAGAAAGAAAGAAAGCAAGAAAGCAAGCAAGCAAGCAAGCAAGCAAGCAAGCAATCCAGCAATCAAGCAAGCAAACAATCAAGCAAACAATGAACCAAACAAGCAAGAAAGCAAAGCAAGCAAGCAAGCAAGCAAGCAAGCAAGCAAGCAAGCAAGCAAGCAAGCAAGCAAACGAGCAAGCAAGCAAGCAAGCAAGCAAGCAAGCAAGCAAGCAAGCAAGCAATCCAGCAATCAAGCAAGCAATCAAGCAAGCAATCAAGCAAACAATCAAGCAAACGAGCAAGCAAGCAAACGAGCAAGCAAGCAAACGAGCAAGCAAGCAAGCAAGCAAGCAAGCAATCAAGCAATCAAGCAAGCGAACAATCAAGCAAGAAAGCAAAACAAGCAAGCAAACAAACGAGCAAACAAGCGAGCACACAAGCAAACAAGCAAGACATAAGCAAAGAAGCAGCTGACTCTGCTCCGAATTCGTGTGGCTTTATTTCCCAGCAACTACGAATCAACCCAGCACAATTAAACCGAGTCACGCGGCCTCTCAGTTTAGGCTTCTCGTTTGTTGGAACACCATGAAGATTCGGAATGGCAGTTGCAAAGGTGGAAGCGCCGATGGCGTTGGACTGAATTAGAATGCCTAGACATCTGCCCAAAAAATATGGCTGCGCGCACATTGTCTGATGTTCGACGCTGCTCAGTTAACCAGTTCTTCCCTACAAGTCGTCGTGAAGACTTGCAAACGTCTGGCTGATCAGGTACTGCCTTTCACATCTACCATCAGCACGAGTGGAAAGCCCTCATGATGAAGAAGACCCTGAACCTTTAACCTTGTGACAGCAAACATCCGATGTCCCGCTTCAGTCTTGCAGATTGGTTTCGAAGCCCGCGACAGCAGGTTAGCAGGCTGTTGCTCACAGCTGCAGGGTGTGGCGCAGCTCGCCCGTTCTGTGGCAGCAAAGTGCCTCGCCAGCGCAGCATTATCAATTAGCTGCCAAACCTGAGGGCCTGGAAAAAGGTCCGGCTGCAGCCATTTGGAGTGTGGAAAGGAAAGGCAAACTATCTTTGTCACAGTAGCAGAACTTGCCCACCAAACGATGCGTCATGAGCATTGCCTCATTGGCAGCCAGGACACAAAGGATGCAGAGCTTCTGTGCAAAGCTTCAGGTCTCAAGGAACGATCATGCCAACCTCGCTGCCATGTACGGCATTCAGTTGACTGCAAACTGAATGCATCCCAAAGGCTCCGAGCAAATTCGTTAAACCGCAAGCAGAAGGTGCTATCTGATGCCAAGGTCGAGAGCAATCAAACCACGCCTTCTCGGCGAGCTAAAAGGAGGGATCTCTAATAGGAATGCTCATTCCACTCAGAAAGGACACTATACTTCGTCCAAACCATGTCGACCCGGAAAGCTTTACCTGCTGAGCGAGCGACTTGCTGGCCGTAGAGATCACTGGCGCCGTCTCCGAGGCAATGGATTTGTCTTTGCTCTGAGGAAACCTGAGAGCCACCGAAACGGTACCGCACGTGCTACGGCACGAGTTGTGGCAGTGCGTGCTGGGAGGTTGGATTGCTATTGAGCTGCGACATGACACCCGCCTCTGGTTTCGCAGTGGCAGACTCCTTCAATGAGTGATGCGCTCTGCAACAAACGATCTCGCGCCACTCGAAACCATGAATGGCCGCAATTTGAGCAATGCAAGGAGTCTTGCGACACATATGCTTACTTGCAAAAGCAAGCTGCTGGAGGTGGTCGTATCATACCACAAGCTTAGTGCGTGCGCAAACCAATGGAGCACTCCCTTTTCATGGCAACACGAGGACCCAAGAACGAAAAAGGATGGATGAAAGGCATTTGCAGAGGTTGAATCCATCCGCATGTTCCCAGATACGCCCAACTGAGCAGCACCTCACGAAAACAAACACCCACTTCCTCCCGTTCGCCAAGAAGCCACAGTAGCTGCGTTGAGAGAAGGAAGCCTCAAAACACTTGCGTCATGACCGGGGAAGGCATCAGACATGGATGAGGTCAGCTGGTTGCACTTTGGCTGCGCTGCTCTAGTTGGGCTGTATTTGCTGAACTCAGCTACAAGGTAGTTTTTGGCAAGTCCACAGGCAGCAACAAACGCGTGCGCACATTCGAGCCACGTTCAAAACTACCTGGTCCTGAAAGGAGAGTTGTACGACGATGTTCCGTGCGGAGCCCTGGGACTTGCTGTGTGCGAGAGAAACTTCAGAGAACTTCCTCAGAAAACTTGCTCCGAGAACTTGCCAGTGAAATTTGCCAAGAAAACTTGCTCCGAGAACTTGCTCAGAGTAACGTGCTCCAAAACTTTCTCAGAGAACTTGCTCCCAGAACTTGCTCAGAGAACTGTCTCGAAGAACTTGCTCAGAGAAACTTGCTCCGAGAACTTGCTCAGAGTAACGTGCTCAAAAACTTGCTCAGAGAACTTGCTCCCGGAACTTGCTCAGAGTAACGTGCTCAAAAACTTTCTCAGAGAACTTGCTCCCAGAACTTGCTCAGAGAACTGTCTCGAAGAACTTGCTCAGAGAAACTTGCTCCGAGACCTTGCTCAGAGTAACGTGCTCAAAAACTTGCTCAGAGAACTTGCTCCCGGAACTTGCTCAGAGAACTGTCTCGAAGAACTTGCTCAGAGAAACTTGCTCCGAGAACTTGCTCAGAGAAACTTGCCCAAAGAAGTTGCTCAAACAACTTGCCCATAAATTTCGCTCAGAGAAACTTGCCCCGAGAACCTGTTCAGAGAACTTGCCAGAGAAACTTGCTCCGAGAACTTGCCCAGCGAACTTGCTCAGAGAACTGTCTAAAAGAACTTGCTCAGAGAACTTGCTCCGAGAACTTGCCCAGAGAACTTGCTCAGAGAACTGTCTAAAAGAACTTGCCAATGACATTTTCTCGGAACACTTGCTCAGAGAACTTGCTCTTGCTCAAACAACTTGGTCACGGAACTTGCTCGAAGAATCTTGCCCGCAGAACGTGCCAGAAAATTTGCTCAGAGAATTTGCTCAGAGAACTTGCCTCTCTCTCTCTCTCTCTGTGCAGATTGCTCTGCGCAAGGCCCTGTGAAAGTTTGTCTGTGCACGTTGCCTTGCGCAAGTTGCTCCGCGCATGTCGCTCTGTGCAAGTTACTCTGTGCAAGTTGCTCTGCGCAAGTTTCTCTGCGCAAGTTGCTCTTTGTGTGTTGCTCTGTGCAAGTTGCTTTGTGCAGCTTCGTGCAGTTGCCCGCGCGAGTTGCTCTGCGCAAGTGGCTCTGTGCAAGTTGCTCTGTGTCAGCTTCTCTGTGCTCCTTTGCTGCTTTTGCGCTGAAAAGCTGCGATGTTCGAGCTCGAGCTGCGGAGGTGACTTTCCGCGCTACTTTCGTTCTGAAGCGTCGCGGTTTCACTTTCAAAGCCTGCCTGCGGACAAGGGGGGAATCCAAGGCGGGGTGCGCCAATCCCGAGAATGCGCGCGCGCGCAAGCCACAAGGCAACTTCCAAAGAATTATCCACGAAAATCTGAAAGTTTCTCTGGGCAAGCTCTGAGAAAGTTATCTGAACAAGTTATCTGAACAAGTTCTCTGGGCAAGTTTCTCTGAGCAAAGTTTCTGGGTGAGTTGTCTGAGCAAGTTTCTCTGGGCAAGTTTCTCTGAGCAAGTTCTCCAGGTTTCTCTGAGCAAGTTCTCGGAGCAGGTTTTCTGAGCAAGTGTTGCTGGCAAGTTCTCGGGGCAAGTTCTCTGGGCAAGCTTCTCTGAGCAAGTTCTCTGGGCTTGCCTGAGCTTCTCTGAGACAGGTCTCCGGGCAAGTTCTGGCTTGCAGGGCATGTTCTGCAGAGTATGGCTTCCGTGCGCAGCCCCTGCACATGCCACATCCCACGGAAGCAAACGGGTTGCCAAGGTGCGCAAAGCCAAGCGCTGCGCAAGCAGCTGGCCAGTGAATACAGGATCCTTGGGCTCGGGGCTTTCTGGACTTAGAGCTACCAGGAAGTGAACGACCCAGCAGTTGGTATTGAAGCCAAGGATGCCATGCTCCATCTCTGGGCCTCTTGACCTGGATGACCCACGTGCCAACTCGGACCCTTGTTAGGCCTGGAACCACGGCGATCATTTTTCCATAGCCCCCGCCCTTCCCTTCTGTCCCAGGTGCCACGTAAAAGCACGCCATGACTCTCTGTTTGAGCCCAAAGAGCTGAAGTATCTGACTCCAGCCTAGTCTCTTCCGGTCTGATAGGAAACAAGTCAGACGCGGGAAAGTTCATTTGCTCGCCTTCTGCTTTTGCAGCCAACTGAGGAATGACGAATGGCAAAGTGATCCGATGCTGCTCGTGATCTGACGTCTATAAATATTTGTAGCCTGAAGTTTAGGCATAGTCGTGGCTAGCTCTTGATTCAGAAGCGTCACCCAGCGTGCCCAGCCAAGGGAGAAAGGCACAAAAGTTGCCGTCCCTGGCGCAGGAGCCTGCCGCCAGCTCCCATTTAGCCCAACCATCAACAAAAAAGCCAAGCACAACCACGCACAAATTCCCAGCAAACCCACCGCCTCTCACTTTTCCTGCAGGCAACACCCCATGTACTCCCCGCCCACTCCGCCGTCACTTTCCAGCTCGAGGTCCTCGCCTGTCAAGTTTTTGCGTTCTAGAGTTGTTCAGCATTGGTCGGCAACCTCCAAACAGAGTGACAAACTTCGATTCACTCTGGTCACACAGCCATCAAAGGGAATGGTGTCAAACACTGTGCATTGTTTCCCATATTCCTCCCTTTGCAAAATAGACAATGCCGCGCCGCAAGGCGCCAAAGCCCACCTGAAGGCCCTGCTCCTGCGGTCAAGACATCGGCGCCTCGGATGTCAAGGTCAAGGCATTTGGGGATGCGGGAGAACATGGCTGCCCGGGGAAACCATATAAGAATTCATGTCCTGACAAAATACAGTCAAAGGCATGAAGGGACTTTCTTATTGGGTTCAGAAATCCGTGCGGCGGTCCTTTGCAGAATCCAACGCAATGACTTGCCCCATCTGTTGCCCACTCGGGTGCAAACATTGGGTGACGAACAAATGCAGACTGTTCCAAGCAGTCAATACTGAACCACCTCAACACCATGGCCAAGGTGGCCACGACAAAGACTGCTTCGCATTAGCTCCTGCTTGTGCAACATGGCACTTGACAAAAGCTTGTGCATCAGTCAAGAATCGTGCTGAGATTATCATTTTGCGAGTCCCCAAATGGTTCCCAACCCGCAGAGCATCTCATGGAAGAAGTAGTTGTTCCTTGCTTTTGTCGCTCGGCCGCAGCATGCAAGGTAGAAACTGAGATTGCGGTCTGACCATCGAATCAATGAGAGGATCAGCAGAATGACAACACACCTGCAAAGTTGGGATGCGCACAAGGCCACAAACACACGCTACGTGCATTGTGCAACACAAGGGGCGCCGGTCCTGAGCTCTTGGCCCTTCCGCGGCCGCCTCCCGCTGGGCGGCTTGGGCGGCGCCGCTTCCCGCTCGGCAGCACGCGCAGCTCGCTGCACATCCTGCAGTCGCGGCGTTCTGGTTGCGACGAGTGATTGTCGTGGAGCTTGTGGTGGTGCTTGGGATTGTGTGGGTTTAGGCTGATTCAAGATTCAGCGCTTGCTTGGCCTCATTGGTAGCAAACAGCGACAACCGCCTCCCCCAAACCACGGCTAAACCCCATGGCCTTCAAGACACCCCTGGATAGGGCAATCTTGTCCCAACCAACGGTAGCGATGTCGGCACTCTCGAATAAATTCTCGCCGAGAGGAGATCTAAGTCGAATTACCCCTGCAAGATCTGACGTAGAATTAGTAAACTGTAACACCCATCCGGCCTTGAATCAAAGATGAATTTGAGGCACTCACCAACAGTCAACAACCTGCCGGGTCAGGACAAAAAGACAACCGAGTAAGAGATGGGCCTGGAGAGCATCACAACTACAGCTCCCAGCTGATGGATGACGGGGCTGATGACGGCGTTCACCTGACCTGCCGTGTGGGTGTTGAAAATGATTGAGGCGGCAACAGAGCGGCGCTTGAGCACGGTCCGTGTCTTTGCGTTCAACCCAAAATATGCTGACGAGCCAATATCTTTCAAATAGGGGGGTCTTACTTATTTCTAGGGGGGAAGAGATTAGTTCCCAGTTGAACCCGAGACCCCTACACCCTCTTTGGACATGCACAAATTGGTTTGGAGCTTTTATTGTAACGGCACATGTCCAAGGCGACACACTGATTCTCGACATGCCATCCGGTTCAGCTTCATGAAGAAAGCAAGACGACAAACTGCCAGCCATTGAGTGATCTGCTTGGTCAAACCCCTTTACCCAAGACCCAATGCCACAGCTTCCAGCCGAGTCCCCGGCCGCCGGCTCGTGCTCAGGAAGCCCAATCCGACCTGCCAAATATTTCCGCCTCAATCGCAGAGTAACCAACAGCTCGGGGAACCCTTGACGTTTCCGAAGGCCGCCAAGCCTTTCAACCTCAATTCTCAAATGGGCGCACCGCACTTCCCAAGCCCTTGCAGCTCCAGTGGCAGGTCTTGCTCCAGCAGCCGCACCTTCAGTTGCGGTAAACCGGGTCGGGTGGACCAGTTATGTGGCTGGTTCAGCACTTGAAGCAGGTTTTCGTTGGAGGGGGGTGATCCTAATAAGCAAGAATTCGACGGCAAAAACAAGAAGCGCAAGTTCTCACGCTCCGCCTGCTGTGTCTCGAGCCCCCGCTTCAGTGGACTGCGAGGCGCTGACTGCAAAGCGTAGTTTTGGTGGTGCGCCTTGGATGCTTGGCAGGGCCTGTCATGAAGTCGCTCAGGAGGCTCGGCAACCGGGTGGAATCGGACAAGGAAACAGATTCTGC